TCTGTTACAATTACACAGGGTACTTTATTATTTGTTGCCTTTTTAGTTATTTTAAAGATCTATTGATAAGTTTCTGTTATCTTATTACTAATAATAGCTTGGACAATAATACACGATTGCATATTATCATCCTGAGCTATGAACAAAAAAAGCAGCATATTGCATCTGTTAGTACCAGTAGTATTGTCATGACCAATTGCTTCTTCAAATTTGCATCAAAAAAAAATTTGTATTGGGCTTATTCAAAATAAGCTGATTAGTGTATTTGATTTTTTCTCTTACATAGTCTCAATGAACCAATGAAGATTTTTATGTTTTTAGACTGCAATTGTTTATATAAATTTGCTGCATTTCTCTTAATTGTGTTAGATGATAGTCAATACCTCTGAATTTTTGAACTAAGGTCTTTGGAAAATATCAGATAAAGTGAAAATTTTTTTTTTAATATGTGCCTTATTATAGTTGTACCAAGATGGCATTTGGAAACAAGAAACTTTATTTCCTCTTGCATTTTATTTGTAAATTGTTTTTTTTTCAAATTGCAGTGCTTCAGATAATAGATCATGATTGTAACTATTGCTAAATATAATGACAAATACATAGAAGCTAGGATTGTTTTTTAAAGAATGTAATAAATTAACATGCTACAAACACATTATTCAAGAAGAAAAATTTGGCTTTTCATAATTCTTTGGTTTGTATAATTCTGAATGCTTGCAAATTATTTTTTCACCACCTTCATTATTTTTTGTTATTAAGCATCTAAGATGAACTTTAAAGCCATTATATTTTGCAAAACAATACATATGAAATTTAGCTTTTTCATAATTGACAAAAGTGTCTCCTTCTTGCAACATAACAGATTTTGGAATATTGCTTAAGCAATCAAGATCTTTGCAGGTTCTAAAAGACTTCTCAAAGTATGTTTAGATATCAATGTTAGGTTTAAATTCATCTGATGCATGCTCTTCAAAAGATTTTATTTTTTAAAAAGAAAAATTTACAACATAGCATTAATATCAAAGCACAATGTAATAGAAGTTATATGAATTATAATATGGCATGATGTAGTGTTAATAATATTATATGCATTCAAATATAGGTTTTTACTTCAATGCTTTTTTTTATTGTTTTATGTGATGAAAGAGAAAACTGACAAATTTTACTGCTACAAACTAAGTAATATGAAGTTTAATTAACCTGTAATTGAAACTTTTTGTTTAACTAAACTCTAGCAAACAATTATGCATGTTTATTATTATGATCCTGATTATAGATAATCATCTCTCATTCATAACAAACAATTATGCATGTTCATCATTATTATATGTAATTGAATTATATATACAGGGTGCACTATGATGCATAGTGCACTAAATTAATATTTTCTTTTACTAATATAAAGAAAAAACTATTTTGTATCTATTTTTTTAACTTGTTGTCCTAATTAAGTTTGTTTTTTTTTTTCTAAAATTATTTTCTAGTTATTTAACTGATCATTTCTATTCTTGGTTTTGTTTTTTTTTATATCTTTTATTTTTGCTATTTTTAGAAATATAAATCAGTGAAAAAAGTGTTTAAAAATATATTAACTAATAAAAACAAAGTTAATGCATAGTATTGTGTATTTGAAGTATATGATTATCATATTATGTGATTGCATATTATTTGTTATATTAAAATATAAATAGATATACATGCAATCAAACAAAAATTTTTAAAATTATGTTTTTGATAGATTAATAATTAATTAATTAAAAATATAACTATTAATACATCAAAAATGTAACTTTTGTATTACTATATATAATCATTAAATGTCTTTTGCTATGCTTCAAACAATTATATATAAAATATATTAACTAATAAAAATGATATAAGATGTAATAATTTTATAAAATAACTAAGTTATTACCTTTTCAAATAACAGTTTAAAAATTCAAAATCTATTAATAATAAAAATTTGAATTTCTATTTATATTTTAATAACTAATTTTAATAATTAAATTAAGATATTTGTAATAATAATTATATTAGTATAACTGATAAATTATAAGAAATTTGTATATCTAATTATATATAAAAATGCAAACTAGCATCAGATAACACAAATTTAAAATAAGTTCTTATAACTGTATAAATTTGTTTAAATTAAAAAACAATAAATTTATTTTAAAAAATCTGAACAGAAAGATAATACAGATCTTTGATAATATTACTATAAAGACTAGACTTAAAAAATAAATACTAATATAAAGAAACTGAATAAACAAAAATCTCCAAATAAAAGATATTACTAATCAGATTACCAAAATTTTAATCAAGAAGACTAAAGAAAAAGAATATCAAATTGATTTAATATATTAATAAACTTATCATAATTCTATATAAGCAATCTGAATTGAGAATATGAAAACAGAAACAGAAATATATTAAGAAACTAGTATTTATACTCTTACATTTAATATTCATATCTTTTTAATAAAAAATTAAAAATTAGAAAGTTCAAGTAAAGATATCTTGATGACTGTCTAATTAAATTTAATGAACTTTTTTTTATTTCAATTCTATAAATATATAAAATTTAAATAAAATTTTTATTAAAATTGATTAGATAGTTATCAAAATATCTTTATTTAAAGTTAAAGAAAAATCAAAATGTTTATTAAAATAATTATACTAAATTTTTTTAAAACTTTGAGCAAAAATATTTTAACAACTACCTAATCAAATTTGATAAATTTTTTTTATTTAAAATCTATAAATTCATAAAATTTAAATAAAAAAAATTTATAAAATTGATCAGATGCTTATCTAGATATCTTTACTCAAACTTTTTTAAAAACCAAAATATCTATCAAAATAAAAGTTGTACCAAAATTTTGTTAAAACTTTGAGTAAAAATATCTCAATAACTACTTAATCAAATTTGATGAATTTTTTTTATTTAAATTCTATAAATTCATAGAATTTAAATAAAAAAAATTTATCAAAAATTGATCAGATGGTTGTTAAGATACCTTTGGTCAAACTTTTTTTAAAAACTAAAACATCTATTAAAATAAAAGTTGTGACAAAATTTTATTAAAACTTTGAATGAAGATATCTCAACAATTATTGATTAAATTTAATGATTTTTTTTATTTAAATTCTATGAATCCATAGAATTTAAATAAAAAAAATTCATCAAATTTTATCAAATAGTTGTTGAGATATCTTCACTCAAAGTTTTATTAAAATTTTGTCATAGCTTTTATTTTGATAGATATTTTAGTTTTTTAAAAAGTTTGAGTGAAGATATCTCGACAATCATCTGATCAATTTTGATGAAGCTTTTTTTATTTAAATTCTATAAATTTATAGAATTCAAATAAAAAAAATTCATCAAATTTGATCAAATAGTTGTTGAGATATCTTATTCAAAGTTTTAATAAAATTTTGGTATAACTTTTATTTTGAAAGATGTTTTGGTTTTTTAAAAAAATTTGAGTAAGGCAATCATTTGATCAATTTTGATAAATTTTTTTTATTTGAATTCTATGAATCCATAGAATTTAAATAAAAAAAAATTTATTGAATTTGATTAGGTAGTTGTTAAGATATCTTCACTCAAAATTTTAAAAAAATTTAGTATAACTATTTTGATAGATATTTTGATTTTTTTTTGATTTTGAGTAAAGATATCTTGATAATCATCTAATCAATTTTGATAAAAATTTTTTTATTTGAATTCTATATATTTATAGAATTTAAATAATAAAAAGTTTATTGAATTTAATTAGGTAATCATCAAGATATCTTTACTTGAACTTTCAAATTTTTAATTTTTTGTTAGGAGATACAAATACCAAATGTGGAGGATATGAATACTAGTTCCCTATATTAAAATACTAAAAATATTTTATAAAATATACTAAGGTTTGGATAAATTTTGTAAGAACATAACTCTGTTAAGGTCTATAGAGTGAGTAGGTAAATTAACAGAAAGACCTTTTGTGTCTTACTATCAAGTGACAAGCTTTGCTACAGCCTGAGTATCAGACAAAAAAAGATAAAATCAAACCTGAAAGTCTTTAATAGAAGATAACAACAGAATTGTTTGACCTTAGAATGAAATAGTTAAAGTTATACAGATACTGATTAGGTAAGCCAGAAAGTTTAAATAGAACACCTACAAATAAGGGTCAGGTATGGCAGATAGTGAGTAACCTTAAAATGAAACCCTTAAATAGACAATGACACATGTGACTAGCTGTATTATGTATATACTCAAGATATCACTAACTAATAAAAAATTGCCAGTTTGGCTAAGCGATTGATCACTCATTTAAAATAAAAATAATAATAAAAATAAAATTATATACAAAAACATATTAACTAATAAAAAATAAAAAAATCTATTACTAAAAACTTTTAACTATTTTACAGAACATGCAAATTAGCCACTTTAATTATATTTAAAGTTATCATTTTGACGTAATGTGGTTATGTATAACCAATATAAGTATCAAATATATAACTTTTGCAAGTGAAGATCAGAAGACCGCCTTAAAGACTGAGACCGGACTGAACCTGACCAACAGGCATTATTTGGGGAATGGACTAGAAAATCCCTACTTGAAAGTAAGTGTTAAATGATGTCCATTTTCCCATTTGATTGGTTCTATTAGGACCGAGACCGACCGGATTGATAATAAAAAAAATAAAAAAATATAGTAATAAATTTTATTACGAAAAATTTTGTAACACTACAAGATCTAATTTCAAGCCTAATTTCAGACAGGTGCAACTTTAATTTCAAGCATGACATTAATACTACGGAATTAGCGTGGAAAATAATAAAGACAGAATATTATTATAATAGCGAATCTAATAAGAATGATGCATGGAGTCAGGCATGACTATTTGGTTGACCACTTATCAACCGATCATACTCAAAAAAAAATTTCTTATGATCGATCACGATCATTCCCTAATTGTCCCTAATTGACCATTTCTATTTAAAAGTCCATATCTACACCCACGCCAGTATTTCCAATAGGAATATTATCTCTGGCCGAGGGTATGCCTAACGGCGTTTGTTCTTCCATCGGTTTCTGTTCTCTGGGTATTACAAGTGCCCTTGCACGACCAAGCTCTTCCTATTATTAGAATGATGTGTATTAAAACATCATTCAAATATCATAAAATTTCATTGATCTAATCTTTAACATTATAACCTACCACAAATTTTTGCTTAAGGTATCCAACTTCCGTGATCAGATCATTTAATGCCTTTGCCACCATCATATCTGGTTTAGTATCATTAGTAGTTTGAACTTTCAAAATTACATTATGTTCTAAAGGATGTGGGACCCTGTAACCAGCAAATATGACTTGTGGTTCTTCCAAAAGTTTACTGAATTGAGGTGAATTGATGAGTAAATAGAACGGAATATATAGTCCTTAAATATTTTGGAAATGATATAGACAATTACTATCGTATCAAATTGCCCATCGTATGATCTTCTCTAAGAATTTCAAAGGTTGCACCATTCTCAACCTTTGGATCTGGTGTAATGGTCATCCTTAGTAACGTAAAGTAAGGAGAAAAAGATCGATGACAAATTAGCTGTAAAAAGTAAACTAAATTGAAGTTTCAATGTAAATTCTAGGGCATGGTAAGCTATAAAGGCTTACTTCTTTGCACCTGGAGGAAGGTAAAACAAATCGAATCGATCAGGAGCATTCATATTGCTAATCTTATAGTTTCAACGAGAGTAGTGTAAAGGATAAAATGTAAATATGTAATTTATGTAGATATGTAATTTATGTAACAGTAAGTTGCATTTATTGAATAAATAGTAATAAATAATTTAATGTTAATCGTTACACAAATGATTATCTGTAAAAAGTTATCATCAATACTAAAGTCTGAAAAAAGAGATAGCATATATTGAACGGCGATTAAACAGCAATCGAACGGCAAACAAAGACCAATGTTGAGTCGTGCACAACCTCAACGAGTGCGTTCTTACTATCAATACGTTGATTTAGGAATCTTGGGTAAATAATTTTTATCATTAGTACTATTAGTTCAAGACGAAAAAATAAATTCAACTGCTTTTTTTAATATATTTAAGATCCGTATTGTCGAATTAACAAACGCCCATCGATTTTTACCAAAGATTTTTACCGTGTATTAAAAGAGGGATTTAGATACAGTGTTTTAAATTGGGCATGGTAATCTTATAATTTGGCTCATATACTAATTTTACATTCTTTCGTTATATTCAACGCAATCCTCTTCGTTAGTTGGATAAAAATAACTCAAAGTATGGGATTCTTTGAACGTGTCAAATATTATGATGAATTCAAATTGAAAGCCTTAAAGATGTATACTGACTTAAATCAAAATTATGCTGAGTAAGATTTTATTCGTTGATCTATGATGGATATTATAGATTCTTTTGATATAATGAATTTATTCGAAGTATAATTATTAGTGGAGATTTAAAAGCGTTGAAAAATATTGTCTTAGACAAAATGTACTATGTATGTATTACGTAGTATGCACGATTATTCTTTTTTTTTTTTGTTCTTTTTAATTGTTCTCATAATGCATCCTTCTACACCTCTTTTTGGGCAATTAGAGATTAAAATTCGAATTAAAAACACGTGAAGACTATGGAAATAAGTACTATTGGAAATATCATGGACTAGTTGATGATCCTAAATACCAATGCATTCGTTATTATGATACTGGTTTGGCTCAATTGATAATCAAATTACATACTAAGCAAGTGAGTTGACTATGATCAAAAATTTTATACATAATTCGCTTTTATACCTTAAAGATTACTTAAACACTCATATACTTATTAGTGCATTGTAGTGTTTGATAAAGAGGGCAAGCTAATTTCTGGGGATCCAAAAGAGATAAAAAATATTGTTCAATATGTTGTTTTTCAACGTAAAGTGGGAGAAAAAGGCGATTGGGTGATATATGGATATTATAATCCGGAGGCACCAACAAAATTGTTCAAATTTGATTTAGATAAAAACAAACTCATATCTGTTGTATGATGTCTTGTGAATTTGATTTGTTATTAAATCTTATGAAATTATGTATAATATTGTGTTGGTGAAAACAAAAATAGTAAAAAAAAAAAATGTTTACAAGAAAATTGCTTTTTTGCTTTAAATTGAAGGGATCCAAAATTTTGCTGTTAATCAATCACCTAATCCAGCACTAGAATAACCTTTATAACTATTCTCATATTCACCTTTATCATAACCTTCTATCATGCTAGACATGTTAGATCCCTTCCTCGTCACACCTGGACGACCGTTGGCCGCAAACCGACCATAGAATTCTTCTGGAATTTTTCCTCCATTCCTGGCTTTCAAATTGGCCAGAGCGGCTGCGCGCTTCTTTATTTTCGCCACGCGTTTTTTATTTTCAATTTCGTTTGTTATTGGTTCATCATTAACAGGAGTAGTCAATACTCCTACAATAACTTCAGAAATCCACCCCGCTGTGCCTCCAAAACAAAGCCCAAGTAATGCTGCAACTGTCAAAAATGTAAACACTGGGTAAACGGTGATAAATGCTAACTTTATAAATCCGAATGGTACGACAAAGAACGTATAGTAAACTTGATTGATTAGATAGATGATTGGCCTTAGAACTTGATAAATTATTGAGAATATCGAAGTGAAGATAAATTTGAAAATGAAAAATGCAGTGTAAAATATGCCGCGAATAAGCTCCTGCAATTCATTCGTTTGTTCTTCTGTGAGATTATCGTCTTTGCGAATTCTTGAGTCACCACTTTCTGTTCGTACATTAGCTTCGTTAATTGTTTGATTGCTGACTCCTGGCGAATTATGCTCAGGAGACGCTTCGACCACTATTATGACATAGCAGGCAATGATCAGAATCACCACCCAAACTACAAGTTGAATATTCCGAATGGTTCCAAAAGGTGGCATTGTTTACATAAAAGCGTGTACTTTGATCAAGGAAAACTTTGACTTTAGATTTTATAGTCTTCTTTCTCTCCTTGATATTATATTTCGAATGTTTTTTGTGAATTCTAGCTTAGATGATTTTTGTAAATATGCATACTTTAATTTATTTTGGATAATCATATGTCAAAGCCCCTTATAGTAAATTATGTGACATTCAAAAAACAACACCATGCATTCCATGTGAAGTTGTTTATCAGATGCTATACGTAGTTGCAAAAAAAGTTTTATCATCAAATATAAAATTAAAATACGTATATATATATGTACATATTTGTGGTGAATTGGAGTTATCTTATAATGTGCGAGATGACTATTCTCTATACCCTTCTGACGTAAATGACCGGAAATCTTTCCAACCATGTGATTGAATAGCAATCGTAGAAATGTCTTTTTAATTAACTGTATGAAATCTTTTTCTGGATTTGCAATCTCGAAAGGCAAAGATCTTGTTGTTTACATATTAAGAGAACAAGTACATTTATGCATTTAAATTTATGGTTAGCATCGGTTTTAGATTAAGGTTTGAGCAGTGCCTCAAGCATCTTTTTGGCTTTTTTGGTTCTCCGGACTGATCCGTGTTGTTTGTTATTTAACTTACATTGGAATCTTTACCAGGAAATTCAAGTCACGGGATTAGGTTGGAGGCACGGGACATGCCCTCTCTTATTGCCTAGAGCTTCGTATTCGTTATTCGAATAATATTCGTATTCGGCGAATATTCGAATAAGACAAATAATTCGAATAACAAATCTTATTCGAGTAAGCAAATTAATCGTCACATGAAACTTCAGTTATTGGCTGATTTACATAGTAACTACATATTATTAGCTGCTTTATATCTATTCTAATAACTATATATTATTAGTCATTTGGCGAATATTCGAATAAGAAATCCGTAAGCTTTAATTGTGCCCGGGGGCATTGCCTTTCTATATATGCCAAGTATTATACTGTTAGATCAAATTTATATAAGAATCTTTTTAAAAATTATGCAGGGCGGATAGATGTCCAGAATTATGCTGCTAATGATAGTAAATTATGCTTGCTTTTTTTTTTTTTTTTTTTTTTTTTTTTTTCCTTAGACAGTCATGCTAGTACTTTATTAAGATTTTTGCAATTGCTACAATTACATAAAACTACCTAACAAATAAGTCTAGCATCACCCGGCCACCCTAATGGCGCCTAAGTGCAACCTGTTGCATTACTTCAAGCAGAAGTAAATTGTTCATCTAACTACTTAAAGTCCATAATGAAAGGATCTTTCTCCTTTCATGACAAGCTCCAAAATTGTCTTTCTAGCTTCATCTTTGATTTGTTTTTTCCTCTCCTTTAATTATTGAACAAGAGGATTCTATAATCCTTGCTTAAAGAACAACAAGATATAAGAAAGAAAAACTAAAAGAAAGTAAAAAAAAAAGGAGGGACTAATTACAAAACCTAAATGTAAATCAAAAGAAAAAAGAAAAAGATAAAAAAAGAAGAATAAAGAAAAAACAAAAAACATGAAGGCACTATTTTTGTCTGTGCTAAGCTTTAAAAATTCTATATAATACTAAATAAAGAATACCCCATATTTACTTTATCTCTGTATTATAATATATTCCATTTATTATGTGGGGAGAATGGTCGAAGTTTTTATTTTCCTCTAGAGTTTGACATATGTCATCCATCATAGGTTCAGTACTCGTCTTGTGGTTTTCTCATGACTAACATTTCCAATTTGGGAAGGTAAACAATGGCAATCCTTTGAAGGAGGTACATCAGATTTCCCACTTTTTGGTAAAAATTCTGAAAAAAAAATCCAGTAATGAGGACAGAAAGGAAAGCCAACTTAAAAAGGAGTTATAAGAGTTACGCTATATAGAATATTATATTAAACCAAGTAACTATTTAGGCCTAAGCCTTTATAGTACTTGACAGAGCTCCAGAGCTTATCTACTACTTCTTTGCTTGGTA